AACCCAATTATCAGAAATTTTCATAATCTTTCTGAACAAAACATTACAATCTTCCTTCTGCAAGACTTAACTTGGACAACCACTATAAAGGTTGCCAAGTTTTTAGCAATAGCTATAGCTTGCAGAAACTGGATAATACTCTTTTCCCTTTATTAATTGTTTCCAGTTTGTTGGTTTGTCTGTTTTCCTGTATTTTAAATTTTGTATTTGGTTTTATTGGTCTGGAACCACAAATAAAATGAAACAAAAGCAAGCCTTCCCTTATCTGGCGTACTCCAGATGCACTAGACTACAACTCCCATATTTCACAGCATGATGGGAATTATATGACATTTTGGTCAACAATATTTGGCCTAACCAACATTTACTTGTGTTCCCACCTGTCCCCAGCAGTGGCTTCCCAGGGTATTTTGTGCAACTCCACCTCCATTGCAACAGACACCCATATAATTTACAAATGAGGAGTATCATCATTTTAATTATTTTCTTTATCTTTGATTGCTTTAGAAGCACCTCCAATTGCTTTGCAAGGGAGAGATAAGATATTTTCCCAAGGAGTTACAATCCAAAGCTTCTACACTTTTCTTTAACCCCAAGGTGAAACATCTCCCATCCTTACCCTTTCCATCTGCTATCTCCAACTTGTCTTTGGCTCTGGAGGAGATTCCATAGGAAATGTGTCACTTTTCAGCAACGGCTAATCTGGCTTCCCGTAGGTGAGGAAACTTTTCTTTGTTTACTCCATTAAAAAGTAAGGAGGTCAGTCACCGTTCCAAAAATCCCCTAGCAAGGACCACAAACCAAAAATTTCTGAAATCCCATAGAGATGACCAGATTACCCTACGGAGAGCTTTGTCAGCCCGGCAGGTCCCTTGACCAACACCCCCATCCTCGTGGGGATTCTGACGTCTAGATCCACCAACCGGGATGGCTGTGTGCATTATTCAATGACTGTGTGCATTGCGCTCCTACGTGAGTCCAAAATCCAGGACAAGTGCCATCTCCTGTGACTTGTTTCTGCCACTAGAGCAGGGCTGTGCTCAAATGCTAGGCATATTTCACAGCAGAGAAGCAAAAGGCATTTTGCAGCCCAGGGAGAATATCCAAAAGTGTCCCAGAACAGCTCGGGGGGGATCCCTAGGCTGACACACCCACATGCACACTGTTTCTCCTCTTGCACAATTGTAAATGCTGGCAACTGATGCAGTTACAAATGCTCATTTTATTCCTTTGGCCATTATAAGTTGATTGTTCCTTTAACATGAAGTGGTGCAACCTCTGGAAATCCACCAATGAGTCCCTCCAAGAAGACCACGCTGGGGACAATTCAGGCGTGGTGAGAGCAAATGCTGGAGTTAAAATGTTTACTCTGCTTTTATCCCTACTGTTAAGAAAATTGACTTAAATGTTAATTATTTGTCAAGCATGTTATGAATGTCATATGCTTTTGAGGGTTTTTCTTTTCTGCCTCTAATAATACAAGTATTATTGTTTATGTTATTTATTCCATTTATTTTATGTGCTCGATTTATATCTCACCCATTCTTCTGGAGCTCAGGGCAGCTCTATTCCCACCACCACAACCCGGTGAGGTAGACTGGGTGAGAAAGAGAAAGAGAGAGACTGCCCCAAAGTCAGTGAGTTTCCACGACTGAGCGGGAATTTGAACTTGGCTCTCCCAGAATCAAGCCCAACATCTTAATCCCTCACTCCCCCTAACCACGACAACAACAGGATCCATAATTCACGACCCGTAACATTTCACGTCCCCACCCCCGTAAAAATATGAGCCGTCGTGGCGTTTTCTTTGTCCCAGCTCCCTCAACCTGGCGCCCCCCAGATGCGCGACAGTTGTGGCGGGCCGCACTTGCGCGCTAAAGGCGGCTGGGTCTCCAGTCCCTTTACAGTATTTATTTTATTTTTTTTACTTAGTAAATTCATATAGCCGCCCACCTCGCAGGACATGACTCCGGGCGGCGTACAACCACGGTGACAATTACAACAGCAGAGCCATCATTAACACACTCAAGTACAAATAAAAGTAAAAACAGAGAAAAACCAAGATTGCGGGGGGATACCAATCGCTCCTCCGGCGGGCGACAGGCTGCAGCTGCCCTCTACCCCCGGAATCCCCCGGGAGAACCTACTTCAACCCAGCCGGAGCGACCCAACCCCTGGATCCAGCTAATCGCCCAGCGGGACAGAAGGAACCGAGCCTTCGCCGAGGTTGACACACGCCTCCGCCGCCCCCCAAAGCCCGGTCATCCGCACCGGCGCCCCTTACCCGAATCCCCCAGGCAGGGCTCCGCCGCGACCCACAGCGCGAGAAACAGCCCCACTCCCGCCGCGAACTCCATCGCGCCTCGGCGCCAGAGCCGGAACGAGGCTCCCAGCGAAGCTCCCGCGGACTTCAGCCGAGCCCTCGCGGCGGGGGTCGGAGGATCGGGCCGCCGCCGCCGCAGCAGTGCCAAGCACCGGCGACGCGTTCCTCCCAGCGGCCGGGCGAGAAGCGTTTGGTCAAGCGAAGCCTTGGCACAGCAGCGCCCAGCCGCGGCGCTTCTTGTTTCGGAAGGGGGAGGAGCTGGGCAGGGAAGCCCCGCCCCCGGGCCCGTCTCCGGATTGTCCCTGGGGGCTACCTGGAGTCCTGCCGGGGCCCTTTTCTAAAAGATGCTGGAGCGATTTGCTTGGGGTCGGAGAGCTCTTCTGACTCCTCAGAAGCCACAACGATTAAGGAGGCGGCAGAAAAATAGGTTGATGAAAGGAAGCCAGATTGGGGAATCGACTTTTGTCTGAGGCCAGAGAATTGAGTTATAGGGAAGACAAAAAGTTAGCCCGGGTGGACCATCTCCTTAGAACAGAGTTCCTCAAGCTCTGCAACTTTAAGAGGTTTGGAGTCCTTGGGATTCTCTGAGCTTGGTTCTTTTCTTGCAAACATTTCATTACCCGGCTAGGTAACATTACCAAAAGAACCAAACATTTGCAAGAAATGAACCAAGCTCAGAGAATCCCAAGGACTCCAAACCTCTTAAAGTTGCAGAGCTTGAGAAACACTGTCTTAGAGCACTTAATTCAAGGACACAATTGGCCTGCTCTTTCCAACACACTTTTTAAATAAGGTTTTTAGAAAACAAGACAGAGGTTCCATGGTCCTGCTGTTTGCCCTAAGATGGTTTTGAGGTTTAACATCAGGCTGTAGTAGTTTATATAGTTAGGTGCCCCTTGAGTATAGTTGTAAGAGAAAGAGGGGACATTTGCCTCCTAGTTCTCTTTATCATAATAACCAGGTGTTTTGTCAGGGTTCCCACCCTATGTTTATTCATCTGCCACTTGCATCCTGTTCCTGTTCATAGCAGTAAAATCATCAAATTCGTCATAAAAAATAAACATCAAACTATACCTAGAAGTAAATCCAATATAAAAAGATCAAAAACAGAATATGTAATAATAAAAACTGAGTTCACAGAGAGAAACAGCCATAAAATGACTAGATATTAAAAAGTAGGTAACGACAAACTTTGTGGCATGTTAATACCTGATCAAATTCTTTCAGAAAAATTAATGTAATAATTTATCAGCTTTGTGGCACCCCAGCTTAAGGCCGATATAACATTTAAAATAGTTGAACCCATTCTCAGAATCTCAGCGAAATGAAAGCCTTCATGAGCTCATCTTACAAAAGAAATGTGAAATCAATATTTTTCTAATAATGGGACGAATATGGATTAAGTATGTACTCCACTCCAACTTGATGAAGGGTGTGGAAATTTGGTGTGATATTCTAATGAGTGTGATATTCTAATGAGTGTGTGATATTCTAATGAGTTCAGATGGTTTCTCTATGTAATGACTATAGGTAGATTTTGCATCAAAATCTTGCAGGCTTGAGTGTTTCATTTAGAATTCCATCTTGTCAGTCCCATAATTTCCATTTTAGAACATCTCTCTCTTCAGTTTTAGTCTCCCCAACAGTTCATCAGCCATATTCCTTACTTATTTTGGCTGGTTCAGGAGATACGTACTTGCACTTGATCTGGAATTCTTTGGTAGTATACCTTTCTTAATTTATTCCACAAAACAAGGAAAGTGTTCTTTGAGTCCAAAAAGGCTAAACCATTTATTGTGGTATACAATTTAGGGTATTATAGCAAAACTCAGGAACTCCATGAAATCGATAGACATGGACCAGAAGACCATGAAGTTGCTGTTCTGTGTAGGGACCAGTCTGAAGTGGTTTCTAGATGTGGCTTTCACCCTTCCATCACCCTGCCTTGCATTCACTGCATTTGACAGATGTCTAGAGAACATCATTTTCCTTTTGTAATGGTTTTTATTGCCCACTGCTGCTTCCGTTATTTTCTTCTAATAAAACCCTCATCATCATTGGTTAGGAAGAGAAAAAAATGGCAGAGCTCCACACAGCTGCTGGGAGCAACACAGCGGTGCTTTTCAGGACCAATGCTGCCAGGGGCCAAAAGAGTCAGGACAGTAGCCACAACGGTGAGATCAAAACTCTCTCTGTTTTTTATGTGAATTGCACCAAGCCTCAATTGTACCACTGTGGCTGCCATCTTGACTCTTTTGACCACACCCTGTGGGAGCTGAACTACACATTTTACCACTGGCTTTGAGAAGGGGGTGGGGAAAGTCTTTTGTTTCTTGGTGATCAAAATCTCATTCAGGGCAATGTTGAAGGGAGCAGGAGAATGAATGGAATCGGCAGGAAACGCAGAAGAGGGTGACCCCTCCCAGCCCCCTCACCACACTTCTTCTCCTCCTGGGGCTCCCAACTTGGTCACGATTTCTCTTTCCTGGTCTGCTCGGGGCACCACACGGACAGCCTGATTGAAGGAGTCTGGCCGGGACAGAAGCCAGCAGCAGAAGCAGGCCTGTTAACAAGCTGCCTTTTGTTTCCTTAACTGTTGAAAATAAGAACAATCTGGGAAAGGAGTTCCTGAGCCACAAGGCCCTGTCAGATAGTCAGCTTTATCATTTCTGCAGTCCATGGGCAATAGAAACAACGTCTCGTTTGCAACTGCGGAACTTCAAAAAAAAAAAAAAAAATGGGGGGGAGCACAACACTGTTACTTTTTCCTAGTTTTATGCAAATGATCTTGTGGATGAATGAGAACATCAACTTGGAAGGCTGGAAGAACATAAACAGTTACCTGGTCTAAAATGAGAATCAGGAAGAACAATAATCAACCTCTGAATTGCAGTTCAGGTCCTAGGAAGGGGGTCAGGGCAGGAATTCAAATCAAAGTACGAGGCAGACCACAGCTATCTAGCTTACGTTGGGACACCTCAGTGAAACAGAATCCTTTGGCTAGCTGGCCCCACAGTTGAACTGCTCTTAGTGTTATGAAGATGTTTTTCCCTCCAGCGTTTGATCAGAATCCACTTTCCTGTAACTTAAATCCATTATTCTATGTCCCGCACCCCAGGATGAAAGACAAGAAGTCTCTGAATCCCTCTTTACGGTCTCCAATACACAGTAATCAAGATGATATCTGACCAAAGTGGAATAAAGTGAAATGGTTACTTTCTATTGTTTGGAAACTCTGCATCTGTTGATACTACACTGTGGTTTTAAAAATTTTTTAATATCATTATTTTTATTAAACAAATTTACATAGCCGCCCATCTCACAAGTGACTCTGGGAGTGTACAATAATTTTCCTTTTTTGCAGCAATGTCACACTGCTGGCTGACGTGCACTTTGCTGTAAACTTCTATGCCAAGATCTTTTTCTTAGGTACCATTACCAAACCAGATATCCCCTAGCCTATCCCCTTTCACGTTTGATTTTTTTTCCACGGTGAAGAAGATTTTGCATTAGCTTCTGTTAAATTTCATTCTTTTAGTCCATTTTTCTAACCTACCGCCAGCCTTTCAAGGTTGTCCAGACCAGGAAACAGATTCCATCAGAAGACTGTGCTGTATTGGGATAGGCTATAGCAGTGTTTCTCAACCTCAGCAACTTTAAGATGTCTGGACTTCAACTCATGCTGGCTGGGGAATTCTGGGAGTTGAAGTCCACACATGTTAAAGTTGTCAGGTTGAGAAACACCAGGCTATTGTAACAGAATCTTGCAAATCTGATTGTGTTTTTCCTCCCCTCCCTCAGGGAGAGGCCATCTTGAGGCTCTTCCTAATACTATCTCCTTCCCAGGATTTAAGAAATGCTTCTGCCCTTTTTAGTTTTGTAACAGCTTCTGAATATTTCCCTTAAGGCCATCTCCATCAAGATCATACTGAACTTCAATTCAGTCTTCTAGACAGAAGTCCTGCTCAGTCTTGTAGTATCTGCAAATCGGAGGAGTGGACAATGGCTCCACCTCTTCATCCAAACCATGAATATAAACCCAGGACTGCTCCTTGTGTCACCTCTCTCCAATCTGATGAAGACCCATTAATGAGTTCCCTTTGAATATGATATTTGAGCCAGCTGTGTATCTAATTGTCATGCCATCCAAGCCACACTTAATAGCTTATTAATCAGCATGTCATGGGGTACTTTATTAAATGCTTGGCTGAAGTCAAGTATTGATGTCTGCAGCACTCCCACAATTTATTAAGGCTAGTCTATCAACATTGGTTTTTGACATATTCATGCCGCTCTTGCTAATTTCTGCATTGTTTACTGATGGAGCTCTTTATGACGTCTCTTTATATAACTTAGGATATTCCCTGGCCATATTTCTTGGTCTCAAGCTTCATGCCAGTCCCTTCATCCAATTTCCTGATGGAACACAATCTTTTTTGCTGGAGAAAACTGAACAAAATAGGAGCTCTATCTTGTTTTCTTTGTTACAGCATAACTAGGCATTTTCTTTTGATTTTGCCATTTCCATTGATTTTTTTATACTGATTTTTTTCCTTTTCTTCTTTAGATATGTTCAGAGATGTTCAAAGATCTAAATTTTAGATAAAGAAGCATTATTATCCTTAACCTCTGTCACCAATCTCAGTTCATCCTAAGGTTTTGCTTTTGTAACATCAGTAATATAGTTTCAGGCTACATGTCTGAACTTTTCCTTTGTGACTGTCCCTCTCTCTTTTCCTCTATGTGCCCTTTTTTGTGTGCTCAGATCTACATCAAGCCTCTTCTGTGGCCTCCTTGGTTTCTTCTGTTCTCCTCAATTTTCCTTCCTTACTGGAACTGCTCACAACTGTGCTTTTAGTAGCCTTCTTTAGAAATGTTCATCCATCTTGAGCTCACTTTCCCATTCGTTTCTTCTGTTGCAAGATCTCACTAATTGCTCCTCTGAGGATAGTGAAACCAGCTTTTTTTTTTTTTTTTGAGGTCCAAGATAAGCATTTGGCTATGTTCTGGTTTCATTTTCCTTAAAATCAAGAATTCCAGCATTGTGTGGAATTCTCCCATCCCCACAATGTTTCTGCTTCTTCCTACACCAGGTCTTCCATTTTTTTTTATTAAATATTTTACAAAAGAATATGAAGAACAAGAGTTAAAAGACAAGTAAAAAAGGAATAAAAAA